TTTCTGCTGTATCTCTCACCACTACAATGTATCTTTCACATTACTGCTAACATGACTTATTTAAAGTGTAAGTCTGACCATATTACCCTCATGTCCATTGTACATCTCTCTTGATACATTTTTCAAAAATTTTGTATGATTTGGCATACATGTAAAAAATAAAGTTTTGGAAGAGAGCCTTTAAGGTGGGGTCAAATGCTTTTTTTTAAAGTCAGAAAACTAAGAAATACCCCACTGTGCTTTATAGTAGGATTATTACTAGGATAGTAGAATATTGTAGTAGTAAGAAATAGTAGAATTATTCTCTATGTTTCAGTCAGTTGTGTGACTGTAAATATTTGGTCTGCTATAGAGATTTGGGTTTATGTGAGCCTGACTGTTTCCTTCTCTGATCTCCATCAAGGATGCTTTCCATCTATGTATATATTATGTAAAAATAGTGTATATAGGAAAGCAATTGTGCTAGTCAGTGTTTGCTCTTTTGTTCTTTTTTGATAATAATGTTGAAGGCTTTTGCTTTGTTTTGTTCTTGTTTTTCCACAAATGTAATATCTTCTCTTCTTTCAAATAATTTGAGAACTGATTCTTGAATGCCTTCAAAATTGGATGGCCTCTAGCACAGAGCTTCTCTATGTAACCTTTGTCTGGTCCAGCTGTTATTCCCATCTTTTCTGTAATACTATTCCCATGACATGACAGTCATATGAAAATTCAATATGCTACAAAGTTGAAAGTCATTATTTACAGTGCCGCCTCAGTATCTGAGACAAGAAATGTTGATAATGAAGAGGATTCTCTTAATGGGATCAAAAATTTAGATTTGGAAGGTACCTTTGAAGTGATCACATCCAAACGTCCTCAATTTACAGATGAGGAAATTGAGACCCAGAGAGTTCTTTGGTCAAGGTCACAGAGGTAAAAAATGCTAAAGCTAGGGTTTGAACTGAAGCCTATTCCTGCTTCACTGTTCTCACACAGTATGTGGAACAGCAGATGATGCTGTCTAGTACTGCCTATGTAAATTGTATTAGCTGACCTCTTGCCAAAATATTCCTACCCACCACTGAAAGAATCCCCCCCTAGCCTCTTGAATAGCAGACTGATAGAACCTCTCCAGGCTTGCATTCTACTTGTAGATTTTTTGAGAATCCAGGGTTATTGCCTTGCTATGATTAGACATGGGATTTTTGTGAACTTAGGAAATTTATGAGGAAAGTAAGGACCTAGAAAAAGAGAGTTTTCAGAAACTTTTCAAATTTTAAACTATCCACTAGAGGATAGCTCTCAAACTCATTATTTCATAATTTCTTCAGAGTTCTTCCTTATTGGTATTTTGGAATGATTTGGTAAAGCTATCCAGATATCTGGTAGATACTCTCTCTCCCCCCTCCCCCCAAATCATTCAAGAAAAAAAAAGAACTCCTGTTTGGCATTTAAGGTCTTCATAATCCAGTTCAAGCCCACCTTTTTAATCTTACTACCTATCACTCTCCTTCATACTCTCTAGAGTCCAGTCACACTGGTTTATTTGCTGTTCCTCACATATGGAATATCCTTGCCTGTTTGTGAGTCTATCCCCCAAGTTGGAAATATATTCCTGCCTCCCCTTCACATCTTGGAATCACTTACTCCCTTCAAAGTACAGCTCAAGTGCTTTCTCCTTCATGAAAACTTTTCTGAACCCCCCCGTAGTAGTACATCCCGCCTTCACATTACTTTATTTTTACTATGTTTGTATCTTAAACATATCATCCCCCGCCAACTTGTGCTGTTTAATTTTTACCTTTGTATCACCATTTCCTAACAGAGAGTATAGTATATCATTAAGCACTTCATAAATGTTTACTAATGTATTGATCATGTAGTCCAGGGTTCTTAACCTTTTTTTTGTGGTATAGACCCCTTTGGCAACCTGGGGAAGCCTATCCTTATGACAATAATGTCTTTACATACATAAAATGAAACAATAGAAATATATTGGAGTATTATAAAATACTTTAAAAACAATTTAATGGACCTCAGGTTAAGAACATTTGATCTAGTCCAATGCTTTCATTTTTTACAAATAAATAAATTGAGACCCAGAGAAGTTGAGCTGACTTTTCCTGAGGCCGCACCTTTAGTCAGTGACAGAACCAGGTTGTGAGCCCAGGTCCTTAGACTATAAATTCCATTACACTATACTTAGATTTCTGGCCTTGGTCTCACTTTACCTTTAGATTTCTAATTTGGCAAGGCATCTCAGTACAGTATGTATTGATGAACTAAGTTTCACTTGGACTTAGGTTTCAGCTCTACTGTTCAGTTATGATAATCTCCTCAATACTAGACTGCCTTTTTATCCAAATAAAGTATACTTTCCAGTAAGAGATATAATGGAATTCTTTGGGCATTACCAGGAAAATCATTTGGAACTATGGAAAAAAGCTAGCATCTTAACTTCTTACTTGAGTTTTCAGATTTTACTACCACCCTTACTGATTTTCTAAGTTGTTATGCCTCAATTTGATTTCCAGATAACCTGTTCCCTTCTCCTCCTTCTTGAAAGCACCATTATTAGTGTTCTGTGTTTTTTAAATTAAGAGTATATTGATAGTAATTTTAATTTGAGAATTGTTTGGAGAGTTTTATTATAATGCTTGATAGAACTGAAGATATCTTCAAATGCTCTTTTTGTTGGGAATCACCAATTTCTAAGTGCTAGTACATAGCTACTAGTTGTTTCAGTAGATAGAATGCTGGATGTAGAGTCAGGAAATTTTGAATTCAAATATAGCATCAGACATTTACTAGCTGTGTGATCTTAGTTAACTTGCCTCAATTTTTTCATCTATAAAATGGTAATAATAATAGCACCAACCTGCAAGGATGGTTGTGTGAAGGTCAGATGAGATAATATTTGTAAAGCATTAGCATAGTGCCTGCTGTGTAGTAGATTCTATCTACATGTTAGCTATTATTAAAGTGCTTTGCAAACCACCAATGCTAGCCATTAGTGATGTGATACAAAATCCAGTGGCAAATTGTGTATTTTTTTGGTTTGCTTCAGCTCTCATTGATAAGGCACAGTTACATATCTTTGTTTTTAGGAAGTTTTTATTTGGTTCCTCATGACAAACTCGTCAAGAAACTAGGATTGTAAACTCCTAGATGTCACGTCATCCCATCTATTAAAGTATTCCCATTCTAGCTCTCTGTACAGCCTGCTGTGATTCATTAGGCATAAGTGCAGAATAAGTCAATGAGAATTAACTAACAAGTTTTGCAAATGCAAGATCATGTAGAGGGCATCATGCATACAGGAAACAAAGGATTAAGGGTCTTCTTCAGGTTCAATATGAACCAACTATATGATATTGCGACTTAAGAATCATCAAGGTGGAGAAATTAATTTTCTTTATATTCTATATTTTTTTAGACCTTTGAGTATGAAGTGTGAGTTTCCATGTTTACTGTCAGATGTTTAGTACCTACAGAATTCCTGTAGGAGAGGAAAAAATGATTATTAAAGTTTCAGGAAATAGCTTCTCTGAGGAAAGGTCAAAGAAATGATATTTACTTGGAATAGAATAGAATAGAGACTCTCGAAATATATATGGTAGTATTCCTTAAATATATGAAATGATATATCAAAATACATAGTCATGAGTATTAGCTGTATGATTGTGGGCAAGTCACTAATCCTCTTTACTGCCTCAGTTTTCTCATCTATGCAATAGGGATAATAATAGAACCTACTTCACAGGTTGTTATGAGGATCTATTGAGGCAATGTTTGTACGGCATTTATTAACCCAATGACTTATTCCCATTTCATAGTTGAGGAAACTGAGGGAGTTAAGTTAAGTGACTTGGCCAGGGTTACACAGGTAATAAGTGCTGAGGCTGGATTTGAAGTCAGGACTTCCTGAGTCCAGGCCCAGTGCTCTGACCACTGTACCACCTAGCCAGAGATCACCATTAGGGAGAATACCTTAATTGCCTGGCTGCATTTATTGGTATCCATTCTTGTGCCTGACCTTTGCTCAAAACCTAAACCTGCCCAATTAACTTTACTATAGGTACTAATTGAGAGTTTCAAACCAACAAAAAAAATCTGTTGTGAACAGGAAATAGACTTACATGTCAGGAACTTGGAGTAAGCCTCAAATAAGACTTGTGTGGTACCTTTTTTGCCTTTCTTTGTATCTCCAGCACTTAGTACAACACCTGGCACAAGTAAATGTTTAATGAATAGATGCTTATTGAGTATCTATTTTGTATAATTGTATTGAATTGAAGAACTATTTGTTTTGAGAGCTGTGAGATACTAACATACATTGCTAGGTGATAGGGTATCTCCATTTTAAGGATATGGGCATATGGTGGCCTCTCTGAGACAGACAGTACTCAGCACCTTTTCCAACGACTTTTCAATGTATTCAATTCCCTTTATTCCTTTTTCCTACTTTTCTCCAAAATGCAGAAGTGGAATTTTCCATAGAGCACACTCTTCCATGCTTTCTTTCCCATTTACCTGAGGTTGAAACATGTGGAGTGGATTTTGAAACCTGAAACTCAAGAAAACAGAAGTCCAACATCAAACTGGAACTCATATGAACTCTGCTCTTAAATTTCTTTACAAATATAGTATAAAATAGATATAATTTGGTAATATCTGGGTAACATTTTACTATACTAACTTCCAGTATATAACAACTTTTCCACATTTAGCTAATCTACTACAATAGATAGGAGAAAATATGGTCTGTCTGGGGTAGGTGTCAAGTGAGACAGCAAGGGCCATAAATGTTCATTTTTGGAAGATTTTAAACGAAGTATATTGTTCAACTATTGTATGTGCCTATTCTACATTATTTTGCCAATTTAAATATTTTCAAAGTAAGATAAAACTGCTTTCTATTGTTATTATTAATTCTCTTTGGAAGTGTAAAGCAGGTATAGGTAATGTGATTTTTTTAAAAGCCTTTATATTGATTTTTTTTTTATTTCATGTTTCAGAGAAGGAGTTCTCATCTGTCTGACTAGTTAGAGGATCAGTCCCGGTTTATCAAGAGCTGCTTTGTAAGTACCCACTGCTTCTATCCCAGAAAGAGTTTGCTAAAACATTTTGTCATGACTATACGTAAATACTCTCATCCCTCCAAATTCATATAGTACATGTGTAGTACACATTTAATAAGTGTTTGTTGAATCAATACAGGTAAGTAGCATTATATTTAATAGAGTGGTTTTAATATGACTTGAGGCACTCTACTTCCTAAGGGGAAATTTTGTGACAAGAAAATATAGGTATATGAATAATCAATTATGGAAGAAACATGAGGATAATATAACAAGCAACCTTGTCCTTTTATTATTTATAATTCATTGCAGCACACAATTATATTTATGAGTGAATTTTTAAATATCAGTTATATCTAGAACATATTTCACATTATAACATCTACTTATGCCCATTGCTTATTTGATATTAAGATTGAAGTCGTATGGCCTTCAGTATTACGTGAAGGATCAATTTTATTTATTTGACTCAGGGAGGCAGCTTAATATAGTAGAAAAGAACTGGATTTGGAGTCAGAAGACCTGGAGTTCAGTCTTTGACTGTCTCACGTATTAGCTGTGTGACCTGGGCCAAGTCACTCATTCTGCCTGAGCCTTGATTTACTCGTCTAGAAAATGAGGATGACGCTTATACCACCTCATTAGGTTGTTGTAAGGTAACAGTGAGTTAAGGGATATAGAGTACTTTGTTAACTGTAAGGCACCATAAAATGTTAACTTTATTTTGAACCAGACCTGTGATCTCATTCAAGTGGAACCTCTTTTCACTAAAGCAGGCTGGCAACTAACTTCTCTGAAACTCAATTTTGAAGAGTTTCTAGGGCTATCTGGACTGGCCCGTTGTCACAGGAACCTTGTGTCTGAGACAGGACTTGTACCCTCATTTCTTCTTGACTTGAGGTTCGGTTCTTTCTCCTCCATCCTGCTGCCTCTCAGACTATAACTATGGGCAAAATAATGGACTTTTTTGTCTACCACTACTTTCCAAAATTGAGTGATACAATTTTATGTTAATAAGGACCTTGTATATTTTATATACATATACATACATACACATATACTTTCTGTTTTTTTTTTTCTTCTCAATTTCCTACCCTTGGTTTGTGGTATTCACCTGTGGTTTAAGTCAAGAGTGTTTTGGATACACATTTTGCAGTATGTGGTCTGTGATCAGGCCATCCCTGCCTTACCTCTGCAAGTTTTGTTTCAAAAAACTTTCACCAAGTTTTAGCTAAGTTAAAACATAAAATAGCATTCATTGTAAGAGCCATCTGCAAGGGATTTCTCTTTTGTCATTAACTATTTATTTGTGTGAAGTAAAAAAACAAAACAAAATACAGTCTCTTAATCCCTAAGGTACATTTTGGAATTTGTAACTTTTTAAGTGCATTTTACCCTGGGACTCTGGAAAAGATTTTTGTCTGTTAGGTTGAGCATTTAAAGAAAAACTTGGCTATTTGAAACATTTGCACTAAAATTCATCAGAGAATCAAAATAGTAATGAATATCAGAACACGTGAACCCTTATGTGTCTTTTCTCCAACGGCTATTATGAGTTAAAGTGAAGAATATGGCATCTGTTCCTTTATACACAAAACAAATTTATAACAAACAGATAAAGGATGACAAATTTTTCTAAATATTTTATGAAACTTTTTAAATTAAGATGCCATATTTTTAAAAAAATATGTTATTTTCTCTCAAAAGCTTCCAGTTAAGGGCTACAGTCTATAGGTAAAGATCCCATTTTACTAAGTTATCAGAATTTAATAATTAAACAAGACATCAGGAAAGATAGGTATTGGTGAATTGCCCCTGCCTATTTTTAGTGTGGTGTTATTATATTATTCTCAAGTGATGACTCATAGGCTGTGTCCTAACAGGCAAAATGAGGTGGGAGTATTGAGTGATTTAAATAAGTATAGAGGAATAACTGCAGTCTGTTCTTCCCACAGCAGGCAGAGTCTGAGATTTGTAGGGACATCACTTTAACTCTTCAGTTTGTCTGTGCAGTCTCTGCTTACCTGTAGTTACTACTTACCTATATAAATGCTTTAGTCTTAAACGTACATTAAAAATTAGTTATATTATTATAAGTCCTCCATGCCAAGTGCTTTAGGGTTTATGGAAGTTTATATACCTTAAAAGTTCTAGGGAGGGGCAGCTAGGTGGCACAATGGATAGAACACTGGCCCTGAAGTCAGGAGGACCTGAGTTCAAATTCGGCCTCATACCAAACACTTGACACTTACTAACAAGTCACTTAATCCCAATTGCCTTTAAAAAAAAAAAGTTCTAGGGGCAGCCAGATGGCACAGTGGATAGAGCACCAGCCCTGGAGTAAGGAGGAGCTGGTTCAAATCTGATCTCAGACCGGATACTTGACAATTACTAGCTGTGTGATCCTGGGCAAGTCTCTTAACCCCAATTGCCTCACCAAAAAAAAAGTTCTATACAAATATGAGCTGTCACTGTCATCATCAACAACATCCTCCTCCTCCTCATCATCATCATAGCTCACATTCATATAGCATTTTAAGGTTTGCAAGGTTCATTACATATATTATCTCATTTGATTTTCAATAACATTATTATCATTAAGTAGCTACGAATTATTAAGCCAGAAATTTTAAAAACTTGAATGGGAAAAAATTGTGACTCCTCCCTCCTCCTCCCTCTCCCACACCCAGTAGTTGCATTTAAGCATTTTCAGGTACAAACAACAAATTGTCCATTGTCTCCAAGATTACAGATGTCTAGCACAATGGATTGAGATTTTCTTGTTCTGTATTGAATGGCTATTTAGTCTATCATTCTAGTCTTTGAAGCATATTGTCTATTCTTTTGTTGTAAAAAATCACTTTCACCCAATGATTATTCAGAAGTTGTTCAAAAATCAGTCACAACTGGGTAAGTGCTTCTTCAGGTCTTATCTGACATTTTCATGTTCTGCTTGTACTTAGTTAATTTTGGGCTATAAACTAATAATAACTGCTATTTTAAAAATTGCTATTTTGGATCCAAGGATATTATACTCTTGGGTCTTTTGAGTTTGGATTCAGCTGAATATTTCAGGTCTTTTTCATGTGAACCATTATCAAACCTGGTCTCCTCTATCCTATATTTATGCATCTGGAAAGGAGTGTATTTGTTTAAATCAATAAAAATCTGCCTTCTATTTCTCCCACCAGTTGTGAAATAATGGAAAAGAAAACCTCAGTTATAAATATGTATAGTAAAAAATGAATTCCATGTTGTCCAAATGCAGTCCAAAAATTGTCCAGAATATGCCTCAATTTTCATTCTTCTGAGTTTTCCACCTGTTAAGGGGTATGTAGTATTTTTCATTATTAGTCTTCTAGAATCAAGGTTGAGCCCCTCTTTGCTAGATTTAGAAACTCTCTTTTCCCTGGTATACAACTTAAACCTTACCATTAGTGTCTCCAGACCTCTTTCTCTACCTTTCTATGCCAACCTTGGCTGGAAAAATTACTCACCATGATTTTTTTTCTTCTAATATCTTGATCAGGATTTGGTCTAATGCATCTGTTTGTATGTGTTGTATGTGTATATGTGTGTGGGTGTTTGTCTTGGAAGGAACCTCTGTTGTTATTTCTTCCTGCTACTCCACCATCTTGGCTCTTAGGTCTTACTCGTTTTTTTTTTTTGAACATGCATGCAAGTCTATCTTATTAACTATTGAATTTTATCTTATTACTTTTTATAGGTCAGAGTTTCTTAACCTGTGGTTTGTGAATTTGGTTTTAAAATATTTTGATAACTGTATTTCAATACAATTGGTTTCCATTGCAGGCCTATGTATTTTATCTCATGCTTTTAAAACATTATTCTAAGAAAGGCTCCATGCCCTTCACCAGGCTGCACAAAAAAAAAGGTTAAGAACGCCTGTTCTGGATTATCATTTTAGCCTGTTGAGGTCATTGTATATCTTGATTCTACTTAACAAGGTATTGACTATCCCTCTCCTCTTTGTGTGTTGAAAACTTAAGCTTCAGTTATATCTTCTATAATACAAAACAAAACAAAACAAAAAACAACCAAAATTACAACGACAACAAAATGAAACAAATTCATGAGTGACAAGTAATAATGGATGGCCAGGGGGAGATTCGTGGGCAACACAATGGATTGATTTTTATAAAAGCCTTTTAAAGGAGAGTAAGGCAGTGGCTGTGTGTAGGTCTAAAAAAGAATAGAGCCTAGAAATGGAATGAATACATTTCTTAAAGCAGGATAAATTGTGCTAAAACATCTTTTCCATTTAGTCTTGCTTTTTAAAGGAACATGAGCCTTTCTGGGTACTCCCATCATGGTAGTTTGAAGGTGCCTCTTAAAGGATTTTATCCCAGTTAGGGCAATCAACTTATCTTCCTTATGCATCACAGTCTTTTGAGTCAGATGTGAAAAGTACTACAAGGGCCAGAATAGATACAAGCTTTTCTGAGTCTTCGGGCTCCTTATTCAGTTTGTTTCCTGGGATTGGAATCAGAGGTGTACTAACAAAAGATCAAAATATTTGTGGCCCTATAACTCCCTCTCCACTTAGGTTTCTCAATTTCCATACAAATGTTTACTTACTTGACATGCTATGTTGCCATTCATTCTTTTTCTTCTATATCTTTTCTTTAGAGAAAGTTTCATCTTCTGTTGCTGTTTCTTAGTTATGAGACTAATCCTACCAAATTTTAATGTCACTTCCTTATGTTAACATTTTAAGTATATATTGTTCATTAAATGTATGCTGTGAATTGAACTATTGATATCTATACCCTACACCCACCCCCTGTAACCTCTTCTAACCCTCTCCCCTGTGACTTATATTCTTCTGCTTCAGTATCCCCTTGGGTCTTCCAGAAGTCACTAGAAATATCCTGAAGAAGTCATTAAAGCCATGTTCTTTTCAGCGGTTTAATTTGTTTTTATTTACTTTCCATGTATCCTGTTTGAGTCACTACTGAAATAATTTTGTGAATATTTTC